AGCAAAAGAACTTTTGTCTAAATCAAGTTTAGAGGCTAATCTAATTTAAATAAAATCTAATTTTGATTTCATTCCTTCAGAAATAAAAAATCTGGAGGCTTCTGGAGTCTTATTATCAGAATCTATAAATAAAATAAAACAAATAGAGACTACATTGCCCCTTGCTCCTAATGTAATTGGAGAAACAATATCAAACAAACTGAAAAATGTTTTGATAAAAAATAATGGGTTCAAAGTTAAAAAAAAATATATCTGCTATTCTAGACGGTGAAAATACAACAAGTAGAGATAGTATTCTGGAAGACCTAACTTTAAATGATATGGTTCATTTCAACTATGCCCCTGTTACCCTGTTACTTCTGTAGACGTTGAACGAAGTTTTTCTTCATACAAAAACATTCTATCTGACCGCCGTCGCAGCTTCCTGTTTGAAAATCTTAAGAATCATTTAATCGTGAAATGCAATAATATGTGCACAAGTGAAAAAAAATATGAAATATTTTTCGTTAAATTATTTTAATTTATGCTTTTATTGATTTTTCAGAATAATTACATCAGGAAGCGGTTACATTCACAATTCTATTATGTTCATAATTAATAATAATATTTATTTTTATAATACATTTTGTTCACTTATCTAAGTACATTTTTTAGAGTTTTTAGGTTATTTTTGAACTTTTGTGTATTTTGTAGGTCATTAAAATACTAGCTCTAATAATAACATATAGTATATACTCGTTTGCAGATTACAAGATAATGTATCAGAGATAATGAATAATGGTATAATATGGATTGTTTGGAAAGCCAAAGGTCCCACAAGGATACGACAGGATTTTCACTGGAATACCGAGTGATATGTGTTTGACCTAATGACATCGGATAGAAATGATCAATGGAGGAGAATATCATAGAAATGGCAAAATACTTAAATGGTCTGTTTTGGGCCTAAGAAGAAGAAGAAGAAGAAGAAGAAGAATGAAACGATCATCGCTTCCGTCATCGGACAAGACCTGCAGTATGCGACGGTAGCATGTGAGCTCGGGTCTGGTGCGGATACGTTTTTGGGGGACAGGAATTCCGATTTAGCGTTTTTTTGCTGGACCGGACTCTTCAATCTTCCACGTCCGTATAATATCTCATAGTGAGTACACGCAACACACGTGTAAAGGAAACGCTCACACACACGCATGTACCTATATACTTTTGGCGACCGGACTGCGCGGCCGCCGACAGAGCCGGTTTTTTATATTTTTTTCGCCGGCTCCCGGGCACCGCGCAGTTCGCGCTTTGCTATATACCCGTACCTACTACAACTACACACACAAACACACACACACACACACACGCACACACACACACACAATACGCCTGCACTAAACCTGTTGAAAACCGTTTCGAACACACACCCCGATCGTCGCGATACAATAATGACCTTATATACCCGTTTTTTTTTTTTTTTCTAAACGACTGCCGGACGCTGATTTACGGTAAATGCGTTCAACGCGTACTTACCAACGCGATCTCGCGCGAGCTCGTGCACACACGCACACACTGGCGTGCGCGCGACCGCGAGAGGAAGAAAAAACTCGATAATATTCCTATCGGACTGCGGGGAAAAAAAAAAGAAATCGAGTCCTCGGGACTTAACATATTATACTGCACATTCAACATGTTACACTCGTGTTGTCAGTGAAACCAAACCCATCGGAGCTCACGTGTACCTCTATAGACTATAATATGTACGAACGAAACGTTTGTGGAAACCTATATATATAATAATAATAATAATAACGCCATAATAATGTGGTCAGTTGTACACCTCTATATTTTTTTTTTATTATTCGGTGAAAATGCTTCGACAGCACATGTTTTTAGCCTACATTTAATTAACACACTTAGAAAAAATGTATTAATATACATCACATTTTAGTACAAATATTGATACATAATTTACATGCGAGTCACTTTGGTGTATTTGCAGGAAAAAGTTTACCGATCACAACTGTATTCTCAATGATTTCATCTTTGAGGGCTCGGTGGAGTGAGAGAGGATTTTTGAGTATCTCGCGAATCGTATACTATGAGCACAGTTCTTCATATTTGTTTCGAAACCCTCGACCGAATGGACGAGAGGATATGTGCCCGTGTAGTGGTATGAACCGCGATCGACACCGTGTACCAACATATACCTACCTATATTACACATTTCTACACGTCCTACATATAATATAATATATTATGATACGCTGTCATATATATACACACACATATATATATCTGTTGTGCACGTGACGTAGGTATATAGTAGTATATAGTGTAATGACTGAGGTCGTAATTAAGAAGCGAATTGTGTTGGGCCAGCCGACCTGTCGGCCGCGCGGATTGCCTTTCGCTAATCTAATTTTAGCGCTCATTTTGATTATCGGTCGAGCGCGGCGACCGTTGCGCTGCCCCCGCGACGCGCGCCAATAAATATACGTGCCCAGCATGCCGTAAATTAAACGCGTATCGCCGCACGACTCCTGCTCCTGTAGCTACGATCCTTTATGTAAGCGCGACTCGGTCTCATATAATACAACGATACGATAATATTATTAGCAACAAAGTATAACGAATACGATATATTGTCTATTATATTACCCCGCCTGCACCGTCCGATTTGGCTAAGAATTTATTTTCAGCCGAAGCAGGGTATACAGGAGCCGGTGCGTTTTTAGTACAACGTTTTCGTGTCATCATTTATTACTACAATTCGACCAAGCCTGATTATCCAATTATTCGTACGTACGAGATGGATAGACGAGTGAAAACCCGCAATAAAATAAAATGTGATATAATAATATGTAGGTTTCCAAAAAATATTTGAGGGATAATTAGAGTTTTCACCTAGGAAAATCCATCACCGCTCCATGCTATATAACTATGCAGTGGCGAATATAGACATTTTCAATGGCGGTGGAAAGGAGTGGTGATATATACAAATATATATGTAAGTCATATACAGACATTTTTACGTTTTTATATATAAAAAAAAAACCAAGAGGGGGTGGTTATTACAATATTAGTAATATTAAATAGGTAACCTATGACAGCCGTCTTGCGACTTGATCTCTAATGATATTACAAACAACCAATGAGAGTACAATATGCTATAGCCTTATTTTTTGTTTTGATTTGTTTCCATTAATGTCGTATTGAAAATAATATTATTGTACGTTTCAATAAGTTAAGACTCTTAAAAATCAACTTTAGAAATAAATATTCGCCTAGACGCACGTCACTAACAGTCGTTATTAAAATATATAATAAGGAGGTGCAGGAGCTAGACGACAGCTGTTTTTAAACTTTAACTTATGTAAGTACGAACAATACTGTAGTTTAATAGGTACTGAGATAGGGATCTTTCAAAAGATACACAAAATTGAGATGACAATTAACAATTCATACTATTTAATTTACTTTTATTATTTAAAAAAAAAAAAAATCACAAAAATATGAAACACAATCAAACATACGCGCTTCTCTGGAGGAGCCGCACTCCGCTTCTACCGCGGTGCTTAAGTGCTTAAATTTAATTTTACAATGTACTGCCTCAGCTCATTTGATCGATTGGCCTATTATTATTAAGGATATTATGTATACTGTCTCTAATTTGTATTGTTGGATTTAACTTTTGTGTGTATCAAACTGGGTAGCACACAGCCAGAAGTCTGCTCTTCGTATGAATTTTGAATTAGTGCACTCAATTGGTTACTAATAGGTCACTAACTAATGATATAATTTTTTGTGGAAAATTCTGACACAGCGTAGACGACCATATTATTAGTAAATACTAATTAATGACAGTGACGGTTAGTGAAAAAAAATCAAAACGATTATGATAACCACGATGGTAGTATTATGATTATCGAAAAGACGTTGGCAATTATAATTATTACTCTAAAACAATATATTGTGGTTAACTCGAGAGAAGATAAGTGAGCGAGGAGTTTTGAACCCCCGCAACACAGCCCGAGGAACCAGCGTTCCATAAACAAATAATTAATCGCACATTAAAAAGGGGGTCGGAGTACGATGTAAATAACATAAACGTATATATATATATATATATTAAACCCTGCAATCGTCACGTAATAATTAATCACTCGTTTTATTTCGTATCATTATTATATACCGGATCCTCGTAATTTACGACGTACATACGAGTCAGCTGCTGCAGAGATGGACGGCACGCCGCCGCCGTGTCTTTTACACACGTCGTATTCGGCGGTCGACCTGTACGCAGCAATATAATGTTATAACAATAATATATAATAATCGTGTATGCGGTCATGACGTTATAAATATTCCGGGGGCGGCGGTGGCGGGGAGGACCACTGCTGATGCTGCTGCACCGCACAGAGTGGACTCTATGGCGAACGAGATCGGACTTGTGAAAACTACACCCCTAGGACAGCAGCGGGGCGCCGGGCAACATATTATTATTATTATAAACGAAAGCCCTTCCCATTTCCGTATGCAGACAACGGTTTCTAGGTCAAACACACACACACACACACACACACACACACACACTGGCGCACGCGCTCAATAAACAGTGTACATGTGTATGTATAATGTTATAATGATATGCGTGTGTATTTATATACGATATTGTATATATTATAATTTATAATGTTTTATGCACTTGCACCGGTTCCGCGCGTACGATGTGCCCCTCCCCCCACCCTATTCACCGCACCGAACTCTACCCCACCACAATGTGCACACATTAATATATATATATATATATGTGTGTGTTAAATACTCCTTGAGCGTATATATAAATAATATTATTATGTCCATCGAATGTATATACGTACGTGTGTGTATATACACGACCACGGCAGGTGACTGGGTAAAGGGGGAGTGGAGGGGGCGTTCATTTGAATAAAATTTAAATAGCGGCGGCGGACCCGCGCGATCCGTGTAAACCTTACCGTAGGTCAGTTTTGGCCCGACCGCCGCGGTAGTTCAAATATTAATATAATAATATATGTAAATCCACACACAAGCGTGCCCGCGTGCGCGCAAACGCACATCACAGCAGCAGCGAACGATTTAACGATTTATAATCACAATCGCAATGAACGTTTATGATATAATACCTCCGTCACTGCTGCATTGTCATTGTCGTCATCGTCGTCAGTGGGTATAATATATTATAATACATTTATTACGAATATCATCGTGTATCGTCGCTTTGACGTGGCGATCGCCGGGACTATAATGATTTAAAACTATTGTGAGGCATTATATTGTTATTATTATTATGTTGTATTATTATATTATATTACTATTATTACGTCGTGCACATCATTTACGGTATACCTAACCTAACCGGCGTTTATACGGATACCATTGCACTACTACATCGAGTGATGAATTGAAAATTTAAAAAAAAGTGTACCGCAAATTCACGCCGCTTTCGTATTCTGCGACCGAGCCGACGATGAACAGTTTTGCAGACCGCGGATCTGTACAAAATATGGTAAACACTATGATGATATATGTAATGAAACCGCGCAGTCGTATCCAGGGGGATGGTGGGACGAAAATTAATGTTCGACAAATTTTATCCGAAAACGATTTATTAATTAACTCTTTTTATTGTTTAACGGCTCTCTGGGTGGTAGGGGGGGGGGGGTGGCCGAGTGTAGCTGATGAGTAAAAATCTTTCGATACATACATATTATACGTACACACGCATGTATTATTATTATTATTATAAGCAGGACACACACCTATTTATCTACGCCTACCTTCGCGCGGTTTACACTTCGCGTGTAGGCATATATACCTATACAGGTATTATATAGTATATTATTGTTGTTGTTAGGTGTGTGTGTGTGTGTGTGTGTGTGTGTGTGTGTGTGTGTGTGTGTGTGTACGACAAAGCGCGAGCGGAAGAGCTGCTGCAGGACTACGAGAGACGACACGACGAGATCGAGAATCTTTCGATGGTGAAACGACGATAACGCGTTTATACTGTACGGCTATTAGTTTTACCGCTTTTGAAACCTTCGCGAGATAAACACACTTTAAATGACAAAAAAAAAAAAAAAATAAGAAAAAACCCATCACTACCTACCTACTACGCTTTTTACAAAAACCTGTTTCTCTCTCTTTATTATACATTTATCAGTGTGTGTATGTGTGTGTGTTATATCCTTCGTTATAATATTATATGGGTACCAACGGATTATATACGATTATCTTACTAATACATCTATATCTACAAAGTCGACCGAGCAAATTTTGTTTTCACGCCAAAGAGTACACATAGAGTACACATAATATACTGTATATTCTTAACAATCTTAACGACGCACGGAAACAACTATGTACCTATATATATTATGTACTCAAACTTGTGAACCGAAAGGCGGCACTGAAGATTGTATACATTTTATTTTTTTTACAGCAATTAAAATTGTTTCCCTCGACCTGCTCTGATACGATCGAATTTTTTCGAGAAATCGTTCGAGATGTACATCAATAGAACTCGTCGTCAAACCGATGTGCAATAACAGCGATGTATATTATGTAATATAGACTTCCAAAAAATGTCACACAGCTCAGTGTGACGATTATAATTAATATCACCACAACAATGAACGGAAATTGAAGTCGAAGAAAGACACACGGGTCAATTTATACTGAAGGAGTTGTCGATCATATTATTGTTATGCAACAATAATCATTATTGTAAGTCAATATTATTATTATAGCAACGAATAATAATTAGATTTTAGCAAATGAATTTTAACAATAATTTAATGTGCAGAAATCGACTGTTCCTTCCAACTCGAAATCAACTATACACACACACACATGTATATATTTTATTTTTTTTTTTTTGATCTCAATTTTAACATCTGCAACAGCGGACATTAGTTACAATTCGTCATTTTTGTATTAAATTGAGTTATATAATTTAGTTTGATCCAAGAATTTTAAAAACTTGTGTGATGGTGTCCGAGTGCTGCATCTAGAGGTGTTGGGGACGTCGAGGCTGCTGAGTATGTACTTGAGGCATCCTGTAATGATGCGGTTGACTGAGAGTTTGATTCCGCAAGTATTTCACTTTGGCTTTTCCTCCTTTTGCATGAGGTAACCGGATGTGGCCGATGCGGAGTCTGTTGATAAATATAATATGTTTATTGCATGTATCAAAACTTGTGAACTAAAATGCGCGCCAAAGAATGAATAACTTTTTTTTTCTCAACAATAAAAATCATTTTCCTCGAAATGCTCTGATACTATCAAAGTTTTTCGAAAAATCGTTTAAGATGTATCTACAGAACGCGTTCTGAAAAATTCTCGTTTCGAGTAGGTATACTAAAATAATACAAGCTTCTTAGAGGCTAACGTGCGTTGGACATGCAGTTTGCGTTTCACATTATTAAAACTGCAGGAATAGGATGCGTCGCGAATGCAGCATTATATAGGTGCTGCAAGTCGGATCGCTGTGCCTGACACGGCCGTGTCGTCGGACGCTTGTGTGACGTGCACAATATAATTTAACCCGCAGATCTAATGATATTATTATAATATACTAGAGAAGCCTCTCGGTATATTGCGTGCACCTGTACCTATAGTATGGATACAAGTGACTGCCCGACGTTCACACCGCGGGATACGCGTTGGACGAGTGGGACGAGACGAGCGTGTGTGTCATATTATTTAGTACGGCGTTTCTGTACATTTAGGTATAGGTATTTTGCCGCCGAAGCAGAGATATAATATAGGAGGGTTTTATAATTACGGGGTTGAGACGCGTCAGGTTTATGAATGCGCATGCGTGTGAGTGTGTAAGTCGTGCTGTCACAAACACACACACACATTTTATATGTATATATTACGAATACCTACACAAGTCCGTAACGTTATTATAACCGGAACGGACGTACGTCAGACGCGTATTAGCCGTTGGCCGTTTGCTATATTCAATGTATATTATATTATTATATTGTGGGTATACTTCACGGGCTGAGATCGTAAAACTCGGGCGCGCACTTTGCGTTAAGGGTATGCACGTAATAATATATTATTATTACTATATATAATATGTGAGCATGGGAAATAATAAAATTCGCCGAACCGAATAATGAACGGGAATGAAATAAAAAAAATCACGCAGGAATAATACAACACCACTCGCTGACGTCATTTTTCGTACGAGGGATCTGCAGGAGGTGCTCAAGTATATTATCAATATTCCCAAAAATATAACAAAAGGAACTTAGGTATGTGGAATGGAATACACAGTCAAACACATACTAACAGAATGACGAAAGTTCAAAAACTAGGAGGAGCCCTACAACCAGACCTCCAATCAAATATTAACACCATCGAATCCCTTGAGGAAAATATAGAGCTATACAACTCAATATAAGAACTAATTTTGATGTAAAATATATAACTGCAAATACGATGTCAACTAGACTATATAATGGCCAAGTAGCCAATGCAGGTAACTAAAATATCAATAAAAAAATTGAAAACAAGGAAATATTAAAAATGAACAGGTGACGCATTATGGTGTAAGCGTAAAAACCCGAAACGATAGAGCCGGCTGCTCCTCTGCAGATCGAAAACAAATTTGTACTGACTAAATGTTCGCTACTGAAATCCGACGAGCCTATAAATACATATATGTAACGGATCACGGTCGTGGTGCTTGGCACCGTTACAAACCATTAACAAAAAGATAATAAGTAAAATAATATGCTTACTGGACATATTATACTACAGTAATCCGTGCACATGTGCACATCATATTATATTATGCAATAATTTTAACACTAAATAAGAAACACACACCGTGTCAAGTTCAAGAGTTCTGGGCCAACAGTGAGAAACTCCGGATGACTCTATACACTCGAAAGCCTTTCGTAATAATATACTAAATGATATAATGTTTAGTTGAGATTGTGCAGTAGGTAGATTGGCAGGAGCAAATATATTTTAACAGATCATCATTTGAGCTTTATTTTCTGCCTATATTTTCAATGAAAATTATAATTAAAAGGACTCATTTGAAGAGGCTGGAGCCGTGAAGCTGAAGAACTCTATTTTTGCATAAACTTAATTATTTACACGAACAAAGGCTTATATTATTATATTGTAAGTTGTAGAAAAAAATTTTAATTAACTGACTTGAATACAATAAAATAGTATTTCCAAGAATATATAATATTATATATTTTGAATATTTTGAATATTAATTAATATATTTTATGAAAAAATATAAATATATTATAATAGGTAAGTGCCCATTATGCATAAAGTGCTAAATATGGGCACTGTGTAGATTTCAGGGGGCTGTAATTTTATTTTTGAGAGGCCTTAGTTCTAATATGAACCCTCGTACAGCTCCATCAGTCAGTGTAGTGTATAGGTTCAACAGTAGTTATATTCTAATACTTTTATACATAATGTAGGAATTATACTGCTGATGCAGCGGATTAAATATTATACTTCGAAAATCAGTTGAGACGGCTTAAGGACGAGAAAAACAAACGTGCTATACAAAATGAATCCGAAAATCCTGAGGCCAATAATGTATACAGTGAAACTTTTAGACACGATTTCGTATTTTCTGCCTGAAAACGCATTGTGCGTCTGACCGTATGTGACCGGTCCACGGACAAAAAATACGCATTATACCGCTGATACCTGTAACACTACGGCTGCCGATCGTTTTCCCAGCACGTCCACTTCGATATACGTTACAATCATTATATTATTATTATTACATAATATAAATGATTATTACGAAATGCGAGAGAATAAAAATTTAATAACGTCGTGGTGGAGCCTACTGTACTGAAAACTGCGTACAAATAATTATGTATGTTATGTACCTATATGTATCTCTTAATAACGAATAATAATAGTAAATTATTTTCGGGCTCCCGTGTATTATAATTTATAATACAAGACGTAGGTATATTGTAATCTATAACGTCATAATAATATATAATACTCAATAATATCACGTGTTGGGGTCGCATTTAAAAAAAAAAAATTAAAAAAAACTAAGTGCACCCGCGACGACGGCGGCGTCCAGGTATTCGAAATATTTCCGAGTTGGCCAAAATCCGTGTGTGCCGCCTCCGTCTCGGCATCAGCAGCAGCAGCAGCACCAGAGGGGTGGCATTCCGCGCCTGCCGCATAACAATATCATCTAAATAGGTAGACGATAATATTATTATGTATGTGTACCTATATACCTGTAATAATGAAATAATGTTATATCGTATTATATGGTACCTACGTGTAATAATAATATATTTATCGGGTATGCGCGACGTACCGGCGGAAGAGAGGGGGAAGAAAATAACAAAGAATTTTAATAACAACTCGGTGTGGGCGGCGGGACCCGCTGCTGGAGATCAATTAACCGAGTCGCGCGTATCTATCGTACAGCGTATTATGTACACGCCGCAGACGGAGTGGCCGAGGCGGAGGGCGCGGACGGACCGAAAACCCTTCCGGCTAATCCGCGTGTAATAATTTATCGGGGCGCGAGGGCGCGCGCCAGCTCGACCCCGGCCTGACGGACCTATATATAGCGATGACCACGGGCGACAACGACCACGACCGCGGTTCTGGTGTGTACCTGCGATATATTATTATTATCAGGTATGTGTACACGCGGTGCGACTGCGGGCATTACGTTGTTATTAGGCATCGTGTATAAAATTCGATTTACTTTTACGTCGCACGCGCTTACGTTTATTTTATTATTTTTATTTTTTTTAATTGTTCCACGAACCACTCTCCGTTTTGCTCCGCGTAAAACGTTATGTATCATAACTATTTTCTATAAGCATTTACCTCAGTGGTTCTCAACCGGTGTCTCGTGATGATGGAGTACTGCAGAGACGTGTGCCGCCAAAATATTGTTTATTTGTATTGAATATAGGTGAAGGTTCGGAGAAAAAAATATTTATGCCATTATTATGGCATTATGACGTGATTGTTGAAGAGACGGATCAGAAATACAATAATTGCGAAGATAGTTTATGGAAAAAAAATAATAATAATATTAAGTCATAGAGGCATATACAATATACATAAAAAATCATGACGACCCCCCTCCCTCCCAAAAAAAAGTAAGGCGTGTGCTTGAGGTGGATGAGTTAAATAAGTCAGTTGAAAACTAAATATACATAGTTTATACACTGATTAACAAGTGACAAATAAGAAAAATAATACATTTTAAATACTGTGTATATTAATAATACAAAGATTTCATAATTTAAATTCACATTATAATTTCGTAAAAAGACATAATTTTTTTTTATATATAGCAGTTTAACGAAACTGAAAGATGTTTAAAAATGAACACTGTTTAGATCTAAAATATGTACCGAATATGTAATAAAATTAACAAAGATTTTGTATTTAATTTGGTGATGTCAATATTTAATTTCCTACATTAACAGTATTCATTTTTCTAAAATATTTGTTTACTTGTATACAGTTTAAATACTTCAAGGTTATTAGCCACGTTCTCTATTTACATATAAGTTTATAATTGTTGCTTTTTCAAAAACTGTATGGTATGTATATTATAGAGATATCCAGATCTAGCGTTTATTATATATGTACCAGGTACATTGTATTTATGTATGTATGTATATATGTATAAATAGGTAGTTTATACAGACATACGCGAGTGATAGTGAAATTCTACG